GTGGCTGGCACCTTAGCCGGTTGAGCCATAGGCGCTGAGCCAACCTCAAACTCTTGTGCTTGACTGACCCTCTTGCCTCAGCCTCCTGAGTAGCTGGGACTACAGGTGCCCACCACAACACCTGGCTAGTTTTTCTATTTTTTTAGTGGAGACTAGCTCTTGCTCTTGCTCCCCTTGGCCTCCTAGAGCCAGGCAATACAGAATTTGGGGGGGTTTTGTTTCCCCCTCCCCTTCCAATACAGAGCTTTTAAAGGGAGGATGTCATTTAACTATGGTTGGTGGTTCTGGATCGATCCCATCTCAGGGCTCTAGACAGGACAATCTCCTACCTTCCTAGCCCAGACCTCCCTCTGACAATTCCCTGTGGTAGAAAGGACAAAGGATACTCCCTGCCTCTCCAGACAACTGACCTAAAGCAGGAATGCAGATTTTGGACCTTATGGGTGACTCATACCTATAATTCTTAGCCCTCTGGGAGGCCTAGGTGGGTGGATTACCTGAGTTCCATCAGCCTGGGTTCAAGACCAGCCTGAGCAAGAGTGAGACCCTGGTCTCTAAAACTAGCGGGATGTTGTGGCAGGCGCCTATAGTCCCAGCTACTTGGGAGGCTGTGGCAAGAGAATCACTTGAGCCCAAGAGTTTGAGGTTGCTGTGAGCTATGATGCTAGGGCACTCGGGGCGACAAAGAAAGACTACCTCAAAAAAAAAGGAGGGGAATGCAGATTTCCATTCTCAAAAAGGCTGAGGGAGTTTTAAAGAACTAAGATGTTTTTTCTAGGAGGCACCTGCCCAAGGTCACCTGGGGCAGGGGCAGCCCTAGGATCTGTCAGTCTGACTTTAAACCCCATAACACAGAGGCTGCCCTTCACACCCAAAAGGTCACACTCATTAGAAAAAAGGAGGATTAGAGAGAAAGACAGTCCACAACCCTACTACCAACACCTGGGAGCCAGGGGAAACTGAAGGCTTTGGAAGAACAAGATTGAGTGGGCAGGCCAGGTGGGGTAGCTCACACCTATAATCCTAACACTCTGGGAGGCTGAGGTTGGTGGATTGCTTGAGCTTAGGCGTTTGAGACCACCCTGTACAGGAGTGAGACACCATCTCTACTAAAAATAGAAAAACTGAGGCAAGATCACTTGAGCACAGAAGTTTGAGGTTGCTGTGAGCTATGACTCCATGGTATTCTACCAGAGCAACAGAGTGAGATTCTATCTCAAAAAAAAAAAAAAAAGAAAGAAAAAGAAAAGATTGAGTGGGAATCCTGGCTGTGCTGTGGGACCCTAGGAAAGTCACTGCACTGCTCTGGTGTCATTAACTACCTCTGGAAATTGAGTATAAGGGCGCTCACCTCAGAGACTTATTAGGAAAAGTAACTGAAATGGTCAAAGCAAACGTTGACGGCACTAACCTCCAAATTTCATATCCATGTGTGACCCAGAAGAGCCCAGGGTCTTTCGTCCAGAGCAGAATCCTGCCAGGCTGGGATCTCAGGCCCTCTGCTCAGTCCTGGCTTCCTCTGTTTTCTTCTAAGTCACCCTTCTGGCCAGTCCTCCCCAAACCCCAGCCCAGCTCCCTTTTCCCCAGGGCCTCCCAAGGGCCCCAGCTGAGCATCAGTTGCCAGGGATGAGACGTCCTCTTAAAGGGACATAGTGGTAGCCACTACCTAGTCCTCCTGGGTCTACACATTATTAAGGCTTTTTTTTTTTTTTTT